AAAAAGTATAAAAAATTATTAAAAAAAAAAAAAAAACGGGGATGTGTAAAAAAAAAAAAAAAAAAGGCTGTCAGTGACGGAGCCTCCGGGGTGAGATGTCCACCACAAGCGCGAGGAGACAAATCAAAAGCAAGCTGCGCATCGTCGCCCTCATCCAATGGTTTCATCATGTCTGCTTCGTTTTATGCGCAGCGTGTCGCTTTATTGATCTATTATACCGTGTCGTTGCATAACAAAGTAGGTTATGCAGGAGACAAGGTGTTGAATCTCCACACGCCTGCGAAGCCTTTCAAGAAAACGCACGAAATGCGCGATTTTATGGGAAATCTGTCTTCTGCGGGAGACGTTTTAGGTACGTCGAAACAGAATTGGTTTATTCTGTCGCGTTTATTATTCAAAATCAGACTGCATAGGTATCACTCATCTTACCTTCAGTTCTGTGCAGATGAGCCGCCGAACCGAGGGTGTAGGGGTACCACCACGCAGAGGTGCGCTCCAGGTAGTGCGCCGGTAGAGTGAACCGCTGCGCGGGCACGTCAAAGCGTGGAAAGTTGAATTCCCCGACCTGGGAGAGGGAAAATCCTCCCTCTAAGGCCGCCTTAGCGGAGGCGACGAGCGGCGGTTTGGGTTTAGACGGCTTGCTGTCACAGTTCAGCAGGTTCTTGATGAAGAAAGGGGAATCCTTGGCCGGAGCGCACGTCTCTTGTGTCGTCTCTGGCATCGCTGCAGCTGCGGTCTGAACGCAGAGGTCCAGGATTTTTTATTTATTTTTCTTATCAAAAGCAGAGGAGGGGGTGAAAGTAAAAAAAAAAAAAAATGCTGACTTACAGGCTGTGGATATCCCAGGTACTTTGAGTTCCTGTTTTTCTAACTCTACTTCACACCCGGAGAGCGTCGTCAAAACACACTTCCTTCTCCGCGGGTTAAATAATAAAATAAAGCGTTGATACGTGTCACAAAAAGACAATCATGGGGATGTCTCATCCCGGAGTGTTTCCGTCTAAAGCGCGGGGGGGAGAAGAAGAAGAAGAAGCAGAAGAAGAAGAAGAAGAAGAAGAAGAAGAAGGAAAAAAAAACCTCTTCGTGTCCCAGCGTGTCAGTCAGTCGGTGTCTGATGCTAATGATGAAATAAAAATGTCATCCAAGTTAAATGCGGAAAGTATAGGCGATTGGGCATGTACAATGGCAAATGGGATTAAGGGAGAGACGGCGAGGGGAGGGAGGAAAAAAAAGAGGGAGAGACCATCCTCCCCTCCTCTCCCCACTCCGTGCGCCCTGTGGCTGCAGGCTGTGCGCGCTCCCCTGTTATTGGTCTCATACAGTACAATTAGCGACAATTGAACAGCACCAAAAGGAAGGATTTGGACCCGTCTCACAAGGAACAAAGACTGCATCGCTCACAGATATCTGCCTCTATTTCATCTAATATAAAGGCGTGTGTGCTTTAACTCTTCAATTTTTTTAGTCTGTCTTCTTCTTCTTTCTAAAATTTAAATTAAATTGCTTTTTGAACGAGCATTGAAAAAGTAACTGGGAGACGTGAGGCTGTTACAAGTATTGTTTTAAAAAGTCAGTTTAATTGAAAATGCATTTCAAGGATCCCCTGCACAGTAGGCCCGTTTTTCGCAACAGTTGTCCGGAATTTTTGGTAATTGCTTTAATAAAACATTTTCTATTAGATCCAAATTTATTTCTAAAAGCAAATCCCGTCGCGAGTGGGTGTGGGGTCTCATGTCAACAATCATCTTAGAGCTACCTACAGCACGGGCCTGTTATCCACATTGTTATCTCACCTAATAAATAACGACTGTGAAGCAATATTAAATAAATAACAATTGAATAAATCAATTTACAATCTGCTTCTTTGTTGATAGTCGGTTCACTTTTACTTCGTGCAAGCCTAAATACACTGCATGTGTTTAGCGATGCCTGTTCCTCTGTGCGTTCATTTATTGTCAATTTCTGTTCCTATAATCTGGGGGGAGAAGAAGAAGAAGAAAAAAAAAGGTATGTAGCTGCACGGCGCGTCACCAATGGGCGATTAGATTCATATTTCTAATTCATTGATTTCCAGCGAGGGCCACTTCCACCATGTTTGCGGGTCGTGCAGTCATTCATTTATTATTATTGTTATATATATATTTTTTTTTTAATTCCTAATCGATTTTTTTAATTCATCCCTCAGATTGCGCTCTTTGTAAAATGCGCCATGTATATTCACTCATTGATATTAATTGACTTGTTAAAAAGCAGCAGCCGCGCTGGTTGGGGAACTGCTGGGGCTGATACGGAGGAGGAACGGCGGAGGGACAGCGCCCTCTGTGGGGAGCAGGGAGCATGTGCCTGATTCCACCGCCTTATGAGGGCAACTCTGTTGTCTACGCTGTAGGATTGTGGGAAGTCACAAAAAAGGACCCCGTAAGACAAAAGAAAAAAAAAAAGAATTGGAAGAGTCATGCACATAATAAATTCTCCAGATAAACGCAAGGTGACAATAGGGAGGACAAAAATGGCAGATTTGCAAAAGACTGAGTTACACATGTACTTTCATTCATTCATTCTGACTATAAACAGTGGGATATTCTGATGCTTGATCTTGTTTTTTAGAGGATAAATTAGAGTTTAAACATGTAATGTCAAATCCAAGCATAGAATAACTGTTTCATAATGAACTGCTCAGATGGATACATCCTGAGACTACAATGTTTGCCATCATTGCAACTGAGGTGCAAATAAACACATCTTTGATAAAGAGAATTTCATCAAAGCAACATGTAATAAGCTTTGTTCTGCAGCATTTTTGTTATTTTGTTCTGCTAAATTATACTAGTTATTTTGAATAACTAGTTAATATGTTATTTTGGTATGATTAACAGTCTGAAGTCACCATATGCTAGCTCAGGTTGATGGATTGCTGCTAAACCAGTTTTTTAAAATCAATCTTCTCCAGGTGGTAAAATAAAGTGAACTTGACTTCAGTGTATCATCATTAAGAGGTCATCTGAATTCATGTAAGTGAATTTGAATCTACATGAATGGATTATAATGGACTGATTTAGATAAATTCAGTGATTAAGATTTTATTTAATTACATTTTTTTATTATTTGTTTTACAGTCCCTGAACATATTTGTTGTGAATTGGTGCTGAACGAGAAAACTGAGTAAAAATCAGTTTTTTACTCAGGGCAAGTCATCTCTCCAAATTAAAAAAAATATATAAATAAATAAAATTTAAAAAATTAAACACAGCACACTCAAGTCAGTAGTGAGACTAAGAGTTTTCAACTCAAGGAATAGGTGACCATCATAGCTGCCGGAGACTGGCAACTATGTCAGCTATAGTTTTTCCCATTCAGCCAACAAACTCTGTGTTGTGCACAGTGTAGGTACCATGACAACCAGAAATAGTTGTGAATGGACCATGGGTGAGTTGTGACACTGAATTTAAGATTTGATTTGTAGCTGTCAAATTAATTCTAATATAAGTCTGTGTTTAACCTTTTTATGAGGAGTTTGCTCTCTTTGATTAACTGAAACTCTTTGAGTGAACATGACTATCCAACACTAGACATCTTAAAGCTTGATATTTAAACCTTTGTCATGTTTGGAAAAACAAAACAAAAACTAAAAGTGGTTTTCATAGTTTCATCGAAACCATTCACTTTATATTTGTGTGTTTTTTGGTTCAGGTTCACAGATGAATCCGTAACTGTAATTCAGCATTAAATGCTGGTTGCAGGGGTCTGTTTTTGCATAGTGAGAATAAACTCAATGTTTATTTTTGTGAGACACTGGAAATATTACAAAATCGAACCTAAGATTCTTAAATGTAGAGTGCGTAAAAACAAAGAATGTAAAAATGAAAACTCAGTGGAAACATACACCACAGCAGGATTTCTGCTCTTACTGCACTCCATGTGGCTAGAAAAAACTGATACTCGAGAACCCATCATTGAAAAGAACGTAAAAAAAAAATGGTATTACACAATCAGTTTGAGCTTTTATTATGCATTGATTACCAACATGTAGTAGCCCGTGCCCACGCGCCATTTAGGCCCTCTGAATGCTCCATAAGTCTATTTTTGTTGCTCCTTGGGTAGGTTACTATGGCCTTTATATTATTTATTTCAAAGCGCCCAGATATTGATTATTTCACAAGGAAAAATGACAAATGGCAGCAGGGAATGACACGGTCAGCAGGTTCTATTAGAGAAATGATAGTGTTGCTCGTGGTTTGTTAAAAGGTCCAGTTTAGATACTTTATAGGTTTACATCCATCATCGTCTAATGACCTATTTGATGAAAAACACGCGCTCTGGTGACAACAGCCCTGTGCAGCCAACTTTGCTTTGTAATTGCTCCCATATTAAATATAGATTTTTGTTTTGATATCTTGTGAGAATTCCTTTCTGTGGGTCAGAATTGTGATAAAAGACAACGGCCAAAGCTCAGAGGGAGAGAAGGCAGGAGGAGAGAGGGCCATGGCAAACAAGCGACTAAGAGGTGTTGACAGTGAAACTGGGAGTTTGTTGTGAGTTTCAGGAGGAAAAGATTTGGACCCCTAACTGGAGTGAAAACAGTAGTGCTGATAAAGAATACACCATAAAAATAAAAATCCAGAATGGAGAATTATTCTTTAAAAATGTCTCACGACTAAGCTCTCTTGGAAAATGACACCTTTAGTTGACATTACTAATTTTGCATTCCACCACTGATAAAAACCTTCTGCCTCTAACATAAAAAGAAAAAAAAATAATTTATTTATAAGTATGAATTGTTTCTTTTTGGTCAAAGTCCCATGATGCTATTAATGCTTTTTTAAAAGGATATTTATCAATTAAACTACAGACAGATGAGAGCAATACAGTTGATTTTTGCAAGAAAACAAATATTTTTTTTTGCGATTCATGGTTTTTGCCTGACGGCGATATTTAGCTCTTGCCTGATAGTATTCTTTTTCATGGTTTATTTTATGTTTTAGGTGTTATAATAATGGCAACAGTAATAATAACAGCAATAATACAATTTAAAACTTGTCATAAATTAAATAATTTAGAAACAATTAATTTCTAAATAGTCACAAGAAAGTATATATTCATTTTACTTTCATTCAGTTTAGCTGTAAAACTAATACAATCTAGAATTACTATAAAGAGAAGAATGAATATCCAGCATTAAATGTAAATGTGATTTCTAAAATAGATGGAATAATTGGCAAAAGAGAGGAAAAAATATGATAAAAATATTCATTTGAGTATCCGCGTAGCGGATGCACAATGTTTTTCTTTAAGATTTGGGGGATTTAAAACAAATAAAAGTAACCTCCAAAAAAAAAAAAAAATCGCTGTAAGAGTGAAAATGATTGGATTATTAATATAAATATGCAAAGTTTTAATTTTTTTGAATACAAATACAATGTATAGTGATGAACTGTCATCTTGCTATGATCACTATAGGTTTTATAAACCTTTTGAGCTCATTTAGTTTAACAAATGAAAACAGAGCTTGCCCGTCTTTGCGTCAGCCGCCCTCCACCCAAACGGCGTTTGGCATTTATCACCAAAACTCTGTCCACTCTGTGTCCTTCTTGGACTCTTAACTCTCGATTTCAGGTTGAAACAAGCCATTGAACCAACGAAGGCCACACGGAGATTGCTTAGATTTAAGCATTGCATTTAAAGGAATTAGTGGCTGTCCACTGACCCGGCAAGCTTTAATTGGGATTGTGCAGGCATTGATTGTAAGTGGCCATATGGCTCTTGAGTTACAGCCTGATTAACTTTTACTCGGCCCCTTTGCACCAGGCAGTCGAAACGAGCTCAATGTCATTCAGCCAAGCCCAACAGAAGACAATCTTGTTGCTTTGTGTGTAAAACAGGCAAAATCGTGGATAAAAGTGCAAATTCTAGTATATTCTATTAAGCTGTCATTGTTATACATCTCTAGATCTTTCAGTTGCCTAGTTTTATTACATAGACCTTGTATAAAAAGCTGTTACTCCGTGATCTTTTGCACATTTTGTCATGCGGTGGAAGCAAAACAATGCAAAGTGTGAAAACTTTTCCAAAGTCAACATGTGAAAGAGTTGGTGTGCACTTGTACTCAGCTATTTGTGTTAAATATCTTGTAGAAGCAGAAGCAATTTCAGCTGTAAAGCTTTTGGATGTGCCTCGACCACACTGTAAAATAAAAAATAAATAAATAAATTTTCTCTAATTTACCGTAAAATCCAGGAAACCACAGAATTTTAATGTATTGTACATATTCTACCTTGTTTATATGATAAAACTGAATAAATATGGATTTTACTGATTTTATATGGCAAAATTCTGGCAACTACAGCTGTAGGTATTACAGGGATTTTTTGTTGTTGTTTGTTTTGGAGTTTGTTTGTTTTTTACAGTGCAGCTTTGCACATTGAGAGACTGACAATTTTTTAGCTTTATCCTTGCAGGACAGCTAAAGCTCAGATTGGATGGAGAGTCTCTGTCTACATAAATCTTCAATTTCTTTTACACATTCTCACTTGAATTCAAATCTGTACTTTGACTGGACCACTTTATCTAACGATCTAAACCACTCCACTGTAGCTCTGGCTGCATGTAGAAATGTCCCAGTATTCTAGTTTCAAGTATTTTAAAGAATTTAACAGACTTCCCTCTAGGTTTGCCCTTAAATGTAGCTCCTCTTATCTTCCCGTGAACTCTGACCTGCTTCTCTGTCGACGCCGAACAACATCTGATCCCACATCACGATGCTAACACCCCCACTTTCCTGCTAGGAAGTGCTGTTTTCAGGGTATGTGTGTTTTCCATTTTGGTCTCACGTTTGTCGAGCCACCTTGTTGCAAACAACAAATGGGACTTTTTATGGATTGTTTTCAACACATGCTTTCGTTGTGCTATTGTTCCATAAAGGCCTGATTTATGCACAGAAAACCATAGTCAAACAAATGTGCCGCATACTTTACTTTTTTCACAATTTTGCATTGCTTTATGTTGGTCTAACAGATAAAACTGTAGTAGAAGAGAGATTTGCAGTTGCAACTTGACTACGTGAGAAAAAATTCAAGGGGTTTGAATATTTTC